AAGACGTTTTTCTAATGAATATGGAATTCTACGTACTGGACAAACTTTAGGTGTTACATTTGGATCAATATCCAAGTGTGCTTTGTATTGCAAACATCCTAACCCTTCAAAGGTATTTGAGTAATTAGCAACAATATTTTGTACTGACCTTTCTTTTTGATCATCTTGAATTGTAAATATTCTTTTGACAATACCTAATTTTTCACATGAATTCCAACCAATTATTGGTGTGCAGTTACAATCAACCACAACAAAGTATAATTTTGTCGACAATCCATTTTCAAATTCACATTGTAGAAAACAAGTGCCTAAATTTGGTACTAATTGTCCTGAAAATGAAAAGATTTTATTTTTTGTCCTGAAAATATTGATTTTTGAAATACTATATTCCTGAATTTTCTCAAGATTTTGCTTACTAATTACATTAATGTCAGCGCCTGTATCAATTTGAAATTTAAGTTTATAATTATTACAAATTACATAAATCTCCCAATCTTGTTTTTTACTATTATTCGATATTGAGTTGATAACAAAATTATTTGCCAAATTTTTCTGAGTAATTGTACTTACTTTTTGATAGCTTCTTCTATGTTTATCTTTGAAAAAACAAAAATTTGAAAAATGATTCTTACGCTTGCAGATGTTACATGTTTTACCTTCAGCCGGACATTTGTATTTATGTATTTGACCACACCGTTTACAGATGTTGTTGTTGTAGGCTGGTGACTTACTTCTAGATGCATTCTTGAATGGTGATTTGTTTCTTTGAGTATATTCATTATATTGATTATCTCTTTCTTGTGGCCTCCAACGACCTTTGGTATTTTGAGTACTTTTGACGGCTTGGACAGAGTCGTGACACATACTTGTATTGTTGACGAGTTTAGTAGACCTTTCGTGTGACAATTCTAGACTTTTTGCAATCTTCATGGCAATTTCTGTTGTGAGATTTTCTTCCTGTAGCAATCTTTCTTTTATTTTTGTATTTTTAATTCCAATTACTAACATGTCTTTGATGAGTTCATCTTTTAATTGACCAAAGTTACAATTACTTGCTAAATTATTCAACAATGTCAAGTAATCCTCTAATGATTCATCTTCTTTTTGACTACGTGTGAAAAAATTATATCTCTCCACCGTTACGTTTGTGTGTGGATTAAATTTTTCGTCAAATTTATGGAGTAGATCTTCTAGTTTTATTACATTCCTATCTACGTTGAAGCTTTGAAAAATTGAAATCCCTTCGTCTCCAATGGCGTTTAACAAAATTGCTGTCTGTTTCTCGTTTGGATATTTTCTAATTTCATTAGCATCCATAAATATTTCAAACCGGAGTCTCCATTGTTTCCATTTTTCGGCTGCGTTGTCTCCATTTTGTATTGAGAGTGGCTTCATGTGTGTGATGAATATTTTTTCCGTCATTTTCTTTGAAATCTCCTTTATATTCTTTTCGACAGCACTTCTGACACCATGCTTGGGTTGTGTGGGTCTCGTCTTTTCTTATATTTATTGAAACT